AGAGCATGTAGCAACAGATCTTCATCATCAAATGGAAGTCAGTCCTCTTGCAGTAAGAGGCATCCTCGCATCCATCATAGGGAAGCAGACGGGCATTGTAGGCACAATGAGCAGGATCACAGAGCTATGAAATAGGCTGTCTCATCAGAGGCAATGAAAGTGGATTTGTCTAGAAAGGAAAAGGGGATCAAGAAATGATAAAAAGTGAGATGGCAAAGTAGACAAGAGTCAAAGGGTCTCTGGTTCCATTCCAAGAATCATGACCGTTATTCAGAATAAAACATGTAATAGATAAGTTTACCATTAAAGGACATAATATTAAGGTTTAAGGTCAGTTTGTTGATAGGATTGAATGTGAATAGGAGACATGTGAGATAGGAGGACAAATAGCCTGTCAAGAAGTCACTCCAAGAAATGATGAAGAACTGAACAGTGGCAATAGTAGTAAAACTTCAGAGGACAATCTGAGTAGACAGAATACTAAGGATGTAAAATCTAGAAACAGCTGACCCAAGCAAATAGCAGCTCATGGAGCCCAGTCTGACAGCTGGGGAACCAGCATAAGATCCAACCAGGCCCCCTGAACATGAGTGTCAGTTGCAGGGGCTTGGGCACTCTATGGGGTTTCTGGCAGTGGAACCAGTATTTACCCATAGGGCAAGAATGGGTTTTGGGAGCTCGTTCCCTGTGGAGGGATACTCTCTCATCCTACATACATGGTGTGGGCCTTGGTCCTACCCCAAATGATGTGTCAGGCTTTGATGATTCCCCCATGGGAGGCCTTACCCTCCTTGAGGAGTATGGGGGGGGGATGGCGGGGTGGAGGGAATGGTTGGACATGGGGTAGACAGAACTGGGATTGGTATTTAAAATAAAATTGTTCATTTAAATAAAAACTTTTTTAAAATTCCCAGGTGATAGACTTTTAGGTGACTGTGGTATATGTTGATAATGCAGTTTCTGCCTTGGGTGATTATGAGGAAGAACTCACCTTTTCATTAAAGTTAGGAATGTGAAGCATTGATTTAGGAGAGATGAGTCAGAGTTACCCTCCTGTCAGAACAAAAGAAAGATCATGGGACAATGAGCCCAGGCAGGGGAGACCAGGCTAAGAGACTTCTTACATTACTGCCCTGGATATCCAGTGCCGAAACCTCACCCAGTGAAGGTCAGTTTGCTGACTCTATAAGGCCCCAGTTTGTTCCTTGCCTTTGTCTGAACTTCATTCCCCTGGAGTTGCCTTTACTCCCAGGGTTGCCCATCGTTGCTTCAGCTTCCAAATCAGTGATTTTCTTTTTCAGAATCCTGCCTATCCTCTGTGCTTAGAAGTCCATGTCTTCCCTAATCCCTCTCTGTCAAACCAAGCCAAGTCAAATCAAAATCAACCCCCAAAGCAACCCAACTCAACCCAAACAAAACAAAACATTCTTAACATCTTCATCTGTTTTCGTCATCTAACAGGCACATCAAATCTTTCAATGCTGTGAAATGATGTCATCTACAAGGTTCACATTCAAGAACTACACAGTCAATGTAAAAAAAAAAAAAAAATAAAGAAAGAAAGAAAGGAAAACTTCCCAATATTTTAAAGAACTTTTCAAATTGTGTAGGACTGAACTCACTGAAGTACTATCGTTATCCATAGGTTGATCTGCCTGCCAGGACTAGGCAAATGCACTCTACTAGATATTTAAAGTTAGTATAAATCCGCCCTTATTAGAATTTCCTTGATTTTGAGAAATGTACATATTATCACTAGGAAGGAATTCTTTACTACATTTATAGATTAATATCATACAACAAATTATCCAGGAGAATATGGAACATGGGTTAAAGGACATAAAATGTTTTGGGGGGGAAAAACTATAAAGTAATTATTTAAATTAAAACCTGAGGGATAGTAAGAAGGCTCAGGAGGAGAAGGTGCTTGCTACCAAGCCAGGTAGCCTGAGATAAATCCCTGAACACCATATGGAGAAACAATACCTGACTCCCCAAAGTTGTCCTTTGACCACATATGCAGTGGTATGTAACACACACACACACACACACACACACACACACACACACACACACACACACTTTCTTTATAAAAATAGGAAAAAAGCAATTTATAATTACAGCTAGTCTATGAAAAAGACCACCCAGCTTCCACCTCTACAAAACAATGAAGCTGGAGGAAAATATATGAGTGGTACTCATAGAAGCAGGAGAGATGTAGTACTAGGTAGATATGACAAAAATATATTGCATAAAGTATAAAAATTTAAAAATAAATTAAAATAACCAACCATAATTTTATTCTCTTTTTGCTGTTTCAATTATGATATGTAGAATGCCCAAACACTCTCCTTCCCAGACTCTCTTGCAGCTAGACACAGATAAGTTGTACAGTTTTTGTTCATGAATTACATACAACAGATATTGATTAAGGTGTTGAAGTTTTTTTTTTTTAATGTAACAGATAACTCCAATAATATATTCATTAACTCTTTTCTCCTTCATCTTGCCCTTTATCTGGCAGGCTGATTCAAGCCTAGAGGGATGGCAAACATAGTGCTGTCATTAGGATGAGAGCCTCCCACGGAGGGCAGTGGAGCAGGACAAGAGAGGACACTGCCTCCCTCGTGAGTGACATTCTTGAGCAATTTTGCTACCGCTAGGCTTCCTATCTTATTTTGAGGAGATGAAACTGGTGGTGGATCTGCATTGTGTCAATTGAAGAAGAAAAAAAACTTCCAGGTGGATATGCTTGCTGATTTTCCTACTCTTAACAAGAACTGTCCATCAAAAAGTTAGAGTGTTGGCAGGAAGCCCAGGGACAGATCTGCCTCCTAGGTTCTTTTATTCCTTTGAGCATCTGCAGGCTGTTCAATTTAGCTACTCACAATTTATAATATAGGAAGTTCAAGGGGACATGATTAATTTACTCTGGAATCCATTAATTTAAAACATTTTTAGAGTTGAAACCAGAATATTCTATTTCTTGAATCCACTATAAGTATAGTTATAACAATTAGAATAGGTACCTAAGTTATCTCCTAGAGACAAAAAGCCTATCAAGACAATTCTGTGTCATTTACCTGGATGGAGTATCACATGTATAAAAAGTGACAGAAAACACTTTCTTTGTAAGATTAGTTTTCAGAAGTCCCTGACATCCCACCAATTTATGAAGGATTTCTCAGTATAATTAAAGGTACAGTTCCATAATCTAAGACATCTCATGGACACAAAGGAAAACAACTCCATACTATTCTAATTTAGTGTTTCTTTCTCAGAGTCATCTGGAATCTGCTTACAAATGGTTCCCCAAGTACAGGACACATCTAATGCCTAATATCTTCAAAGAAACATTTTCATAGTATTTTTAAAAATATCCCAATTCTCAAAATCGAAAAATTTATCACATTCTTTCACTTATACTTACATTAAAATTTTATTGTTTTCATTACACATTTACATCTATAACTCTCTTTCATCTAGTATTTTTCTGTAAGATAAGACATAACACAAATCATACTGCAAAATATCACCCATACTGACCTTTGACATGGGGACTTTAGGACTCTTGCCTAAAAGAACCAGTATGTCAACTGACTGGCAGGCAAGGGAGGGCTGAAGATCTACAGACACAGTAGTTTATGGTAGACTTTAGTCCAAGGTTGAGGGAAGCGGGAGGATGGGGTATAACTGAGCGAAGAGCACACTCTCAGCATGTACAAGGCTACTCTGGGCAAAATCTGGGTACACACACACACACACACACACACACACACACACACACACACTACTGGAACCTTCTTAATTTTCACTTCTCTCTTTTCGTAATTTTTTTGTTCTTTCTAAAAAAAAGATTTATTTTTCCCCAACATAATATTTTTATAATTATGTGGTAATTTCATACAATGCACTCTGATCCTACTTGCTTCCCATTTCTACCTCTGTGCCACACACCCCCCCCCAAAAAAAAAAACAAAGAAAATAGATCAAGCCCAATTTATTGTTTAGCGCATTATCAACTTCCTAGTTAAAGAAAATTGAATCCTCTACCCCACACCAGAAACCATCAGCTGTGAAGAGCTATACTTCAGCATCTAGTAACCCTCTGAAACTCATCATCAGGAACACAAAGAGTATGTCTTCAATAAGAACATTTGAAACGCCTGACTTTTAGCTGCGCACGCCTTCATTTCCTAATTACCATCACATGCTCACCACTCACACTCTGGATTCTAAGATTTCTTTTCCATTATCCCTTTCTCTTCCATTTATGTGGTTGCTATGCCAAATCCATTGCTTCTCAAAGCTTGTTTTTATCTCAAAGGATTAATCTAGGTCATTATACATATTTTATTTTTATAGCATTTGATGGCTTCTAGAGAGGTTTGTCACACTAATAATATTGTTCAATGGTTGTCCCATGGTGTTTAGCTGATTTTCATGAGTAAAAATGTGCTTAGAAATCTTTATATTATTTATTTAGCCTTTTCTTTTATGTACCAGGGGCTACTTTGAGGGCCTTTTAAAAAAACATGTGTTGTTATTAAATATTTACAATTCAAACTTCTTAGCTGTTATATGCAGTAGCCTGGAAATTTCCTGGAAAAGCCACATACTAAGGTCATCGTCCTGTAGTACTATTGGGGATGACGGAACCGTTAGCAGAAAGGATGTAAAAGGAATTTAATTCAATATAGATGCATCATTGAAGAGGGTGTGAAGAATTCAGTCCTTTCCTGTCTACCTGAGTCTTGACTGCCATGTTGTAAGCAGTTAATCCTCCACACATCTGCCTTTCTGTCCCACCTCTCGCCATGGCCCTGGAAGCAACCAGGGAATGAAGCCTCTGAAACTGTGAATAAAAATAAGCTTTCCTTCTTTAAATTGATTCATCTCAGGAATTTGTTATATTGGTGAGTTACCGTCCTCTAGTAGAGATTATTCCCTTGTTCACAAGTTAAAAGTCCAAGCCATAAGGTGGTTGGGTGGTTGACTACCTCATCCAAGGTCACGTGCACAGTGAAGGAACCCTCTGGGCCAGCTCTGCCTGAGTCTGTCGTCTGCTCGTTCAGTGTGGGTTTCTTAGGCTCATAGGCTAGATCACTTTTAATGCTGTGTCCTTATAAAAAGGGAAAACAAGACACAGAAACACAGACACAGGGAAGAGGCCAGATGAAGGCAAAAGCAGGGGAAACCCTGATTCTTCTGTAAGCGAAGTCTGTCTGTCAGTATCCCACAAGCAACACGGGACAGAATGGGAAAGACATCGGAAGGAAGCAAGCATAAATGTTAACACCTGGGTTCCACCCTTCCTGGCTCTAAAACCATGAGATGAATGACTTCTTAAAGGAGCAAGAGAGTATTTACAGTTGGAAGCCTTTGGGTAGGAGTGTCTCATGAGCGGAGAAGGAAGACATGCCTGTGAGAAGACAGTGGCCTTTTGTCACTTTCTATGCATGTAGGTAGACAGTTCATAGCAGATGTCTGTGATTATAAAGTTGGCAATGTTACGAGACACTGGAGACCACAACTGTAACCTAAGCTGTGTGTTTCAAATCAAGTCCAGATGTGCTTATTTCAAACAGTGCCTGTCTCTCTGGGCTTCACAAACTTAATGCAGAAAATACTTAAGCCAATTTTCTGCAGAGTAGGATCATGCCTTTGTCTCTCACCAGTACAGTCAGTACTGGAGACCAAAATTCAATTTTTGTCTTCAGAACAAAACTGTAAGCTTCTAAAAACAAATAGTTGGCTTTTTTTTCCTGTGAAGAATCCAGCAATGCCTTTATATAATAATCAGATCATTGACACATTTCCTGTGCAGATCAATCATTCTCCAATTGGTTTGATCATCAAAAACCACTTTGAAGATTTTTTTATTACATTTTATTTCCAGACAGTCTCTGGTTAATTTTTGTTATCTTGATTTTGAAACATTAAAGATACTCCAAAGAATAAAAGTTCCTGTAAAATGGCCTAAGTCACTAATATTCAGATGTTTGGGAACTAGTGAAGGAGGTGAAGATGAAAATCATAACACATCACATGAAATGTAATATGCAGAATGTGCTCTCACATAGTCTAGTTTCTATAGTGATTTTTGAAATAGTCTACTATTTAGGGAATAAATAGATTTAGCTACTTGGCACATCAAATAAAATCAAGGAGACTTCACAAATGTTCTCAACTTAGCTTTTCTCTTAAGTTTTTATATTTTTTGAGAATTTCACATATGAGTACTGTATTTTACATCATTTTCCTCCCCCACTCCACTTCCCCCAACTTCTGTACTATAATGGGTTTTGATTTCTTAACCGAATATTCCCCAAATAGAATTTACCAATTAAAGAAGACAACTGGTGTACTGGATTTGCTTCAGTTTCTCTACTGTCTTTTAAACCGGAAAAGTTGAGTTAGGCAATTGACCCTTCTCTCCAAGCCCGTAGCCTAGAAACTGCGGCAGGGCAGGCAGAGCTTCAGTTCCCTCCCACAGAATTCCGTTAGTGTGAAACCAGAGCCACATCTGGCTCTCTTTATGAAATTCAAACAATTACCTAACCTCTTCCCTCTTAGAGAAAAAGTTCATGGGATCATATAGCAGCATCTTGTGGTATATAATGAATCCGTTAAACAGTTTTGCAAGATGCAGTAGAGGGAGAATAAATAAGTGGCTACAGCACATCTGGCTGGACTCTGAAGGAAGTCGCTTTCTTTCTTTTCTTCTTCGTGCTCCATAAAGTTTGTTCTGTCTGTCACTCCTCACTTCATTTGAGTTCCTGCAGGCAGCATGGCCAGGGGAGTGTGCTGGGGATAGAAACACAGCTTCTGGATCCCAGTGAGACTTCCTGTTTTGTAGAAGCCAAGGCGGTACAAGCAGGGAAAGAAAGCAGCCCTGAAGGTCAACTTAGACAGAGTAGGGCTGTTTGGTAGACACACAGGGACTGCCAGGGAGTCGGCAACGTGTCTCCATCGAAATAGTGCATGCTGTGCAAATTTGTCCAAGATTCAATTCTAGATGTTTAAGGGTGTTGCATAAACAACCTAGAGACAGGAAAGATAATGGAGAAAGATTCAGGGGGGAAATCAATGCTTTATAGTTTTAATCAGATATAACAAATTGTGTGCCAGAATGATTGAATCTAACAGTCTAACTTGCTTAAGTGTGTGTGTGTGTGTGTGTGATAAATGTCTATACAACTAAGGTGAAGAAAAGAGTATAAAAACTTAAATATAGAAAAGTTCAGCTACTGTAAACTAAAAAGCCCAGATATTTGTAACTTTGTGTTTTCTGAGATTAGCTACCTAGAAAAAAAAAAAAAAACAATATTGATTCATTGTATCTAACAGAAACTAACTTTACACTTGGCAGTGAATAAAACTGACAAATCAGACAAGGGAACTATATAATCAAGATAGTTTTTAATAATTAGGATTATGTAGAACCTCTAAGAGCATGATTAAGGGACAATCATAAGAGTGATTTAATTTCAAAGGTCATAAAACTTAAAGATGTGATTTATAAGCTTATCTGAACTTACCTAATACTTATTGAACATCTGATATATATTAGGTGATACACGAACATTTCATGTTGAATAATTCTAATTTCATTCTTAACAATGAGATAATAACATCCTTTTTCCAAGGGGAAAAATCAAATATCAATATGATAATACCTGGGACAAATTGCAAAGCCCAGCCTAGCAGGAAGATACTGACAAGATCTTGTTTCAAAGACAAAACAATAGAAAACAAAATGAAGCCCAATGTGTGTGAAGAACAGAGCTGTGGCTTATGCAATTCAATTCTTAAATTCTCCATTTCATAACTTGATTTCTGAGTTTGAATTATGCATGTGTATGTTATGTAAATTCAGAATTTTATTTTAAGTGTTTAGACTTAACCAGACCACCTAGAAGGCAAAAATGTGCTTTTTAAATACAAACACTGCAGTGAAATATATGTTCTTTATATCATTCACTTACTAAAATTCATGAGAAGTGATTAGTGATTTCAAAAAAAAAAAAAACCTTATTTTTTCATTAGAAGAGATTTCTAGGAGAAGTCATTGTGGAATAAACTTAATCATTTTGCACAGGAATGATTCATCTAGTAGTATGTAAATCATTGCACTAAAATTATAATTTAAATTGAAATTAATGCTCCATACCCCTTAAGCACAATAATATTAAGGGGATTTTTAAATTTAAATAGACATTTCAGTCAGTTAATTAAAGTAGTTGTTTTTTTCTTTTAATGAAATTACTTTGTTGATTCACCTTTTTTCCTTTATTTCTTTATTGTATAATATTATGTAGCTCTAGTTTGTATACCAATATACTGTGGTTAGTTATCATTGTATACTATATAGAATGGTGGAAATATAAACACAGAAGTATCTCTCAGTTAAGACAACATGTATCACTGTATCATCTCTTGAAAATATAAGATCATATCTGTTATCATAGTTTAGAAAATAATAAAAACAAATGGAATGGTCCTAATCAGAAAGGTCACTGGCTTCACAATACAGGACTTCCCTTTAATGATGACTTGTCTAATCTTAGTAAACTCACAGGGAAACTAAGGATGAAGTAATCCAAATGATTAGGTTAGTCAGGAGAATACTGTTTTTAATGTAATCTTTGTCCTCCTGGTGGCTTCTACTTCCACCATCTGTGGCTGATACCAAGTAGCTATCAAGAGGCAACAAAATGAGATGGGCTAAAGCCTCATAGTCAAAAAACCAACACAGGGATGTCGTACCAGGTGTCTGGACTTGTGTTTATTTTGAATTCTGGATCCTTCATTATTTTTACCTAGATCCTTCTCTCCTGCCAGGCAGCTATACAGCTGCCCATGCATAAAACATTCAAAACACACACTCTGGCCCCAGACCTTCGTTCATCTTGATGGCGGACTGCTGCTCATGTGAGCGTGCATGTAAGCATATATATGTATGAACAATAATTAAACATTCTTTAAAAGTAAAAACTAAAAGAAATCCTAATTTTTTTAAAAAAAATTTTTATTTTATTTTAAATGATAGGAATGTGTGTGTGCTGGTACATGCATGTAGTTGTGGGTATCCAGAAGAAAGCATCAGAGGGCATCAGATCCACTGGAATGCAGTTACAGGCCATCATGAGCCTCCTGACATGGGTCCTGGGGACTGAACTTGGCCCCTCTGCAGCACAGACACTGAACACTTTTAATCCCTGAGACATTTCTCCAGCCCTGAAACTGTGGCCACAAAGAAGGGATGCTAGCAGCCTAAGGGCAGTAAGCTGACCATTGCACTAAGTCCGTGAGAGATGTGTATGGACTCTATAAATAGTGTTTAAGTATTCAATAGTTCAACAAATCAGGAATAGTTCACTCCTGATTTCCAAACTCAATCTGCTGAAGATGTTGGCAATTTGCTACTTTATTCAGGAGCTGAGTAACAAAAGTGCATTAGTAAAGAGACAGATGCTCTGATTCCCAAATCCCTGCCATTCCCAGACTCTCCTTCACATTGATAGCTTTGCTCACCTGTGCTGCAGAACCCATCTGGGAGTGAAGATCTAAGCTAAGCTTTGTAACTTGTAGCTATTTTTTTTGCCATCACAGATACTACTGAGGCTGACATTGGTTGTTGTGCTTTGCTTCTAAAAATTAGCTGATTTTACACGTGACCATGACCTCTTTTTTTTTTTTTTCCTTTTGTTTTGTTTTTTTCCAGAACCTCAGATGCAATTTTCAGCACTGTTTGTATTAGCTTGTTACTTTGAGAACTAATGACAACTTGAATAATTTTTAGTCCCTTGAGGAAGGGATTTCATGGCAATCTAGTTTCTAATGCTGTCTTTGCCCTAGGGTCTATGACATATTGTGACTGTCATTAAAGTCATTTCTATGCACAAGGAAGCTCACTAACAGTCTTGGGGCTTTCTGATATTACTGGATTCTTCTTGTTCCTGGTCCATTTGGATTTCTTGGGAATGAGTCACAAAAAAAAAAAAAAAAAAAAAAAAAAAAACAAACAAACAAAAAAAAAAAAACTGGTAAGAGGATTAATTTTATGTTGTCCTCAGTTACTGTGGGAACAAAATGATTCTTTTTCTGAGGTATAATTTC